AGAAGAAAGAAAGAAAGAAAGAAAGAAAGAAAGAAAGAAAGAAAGAAAGAAAGAAAGAAAGAAAGAAAGAAAGAAAGAAAATGATGGAAAATATACTAATTGCTTCATGGTATTATGTGTTAGTAAAACAATAAAGTTGATAAACAAGTAGTAAAGCATGAAGCATATTTAAAGACATAGTTTAAAAAAAGCAGTAAGATAGAAATGTCAACTAGATTTAGATGATAAAGGAAGCAGAAGAAAAGAGAAAAACCTATTTTATCCTTACTTTTGCTAGCAGACCAATAAATTTTGTGTAACTAGAAAGTCAACTATGGATATTTAATCTTGATAAAAATATTTTTATACTTTGTTAAATTATTAGCATAAAGATAATACAATAAATATAAACATTTTATATGGAAAAAATTAAGTAGTAGATCACTTACTGAGGGCCTTTTTAAAATAATGAGAAAAGACTATAACATAAAGTAGGAGAAGACACATGACATATATCAATCAAAACACCTATGGCCTCACACATTGAAAGGGAAAGACCATGGCTTTCACTCCTCACACACTCATTGCTTGCACACTTCATGAGACATATATCCCATTCACTCAGGTCTCTTCTCTGCTATTCTGACCAGCAAATATAAAATGGTGATATATTGTTTATTGTATTTTATTTTCTCCATAAATTAATAAACTTTAGCTTTTTTTTTTGCAATTATTTATTATTTCCACACTAGAATGTAAGATCCATGGGATGACACATTTTACTCATTTTTATCACCTGTGTCTCTTGAAAAACCTAACACAGTGCTATCTCCAAAGAAGATGCTAAAAAATAAATACTTCCTAACTAAGTATCTTTATTCACTTTGAGAGAAGGAGAGGATTGGGTCAAGGAAGAGCATGGAGGACTCAATACTTAACTGCTAGGATGATAATGAAAAGAGAGCATCGTGTTAGGAGTACACTTAAATATTGAAAACATCAATAAGCTATTGCTTAAAAGAGATATGGTAGTAACACATTTATTTCTCAGATGATTAAAGCCTATTTTTATATAAAATCTCTTTATGTTATATATATTTATATATTTGTATGTATTATTAAAAATGATTGAAAGTAATTCTTCTGTATTATATTAAAGTTCTATAGCTACAAATATGGTGTAAATGTTGTCAGTCATTCTGCCCTTTCTTTTA